TGGAATTTCTGTATAGGACTTTAAGTTTTTGTTTTACATTCAAGGGGAAAGTATCTTTAAAAAAAAGTTTGCAAGTATGGTTGTTAGGGGGAAAGGATGGCCTGAATGAACTCTACAGATACAGGTTTTGTGGACTCCACCCCACTCCAGACACCAAAACTACAAATTCCAGCACCACCAAAGGGAGGGCTGCTGGGACCCAAGGCAGAGTTAAGAAGCCATTAAAAAAATATATATCTATATATAAAACCAGATATGTTGGGCTGAGGGTCTATCTCTTTTGGCCTCATGGCTGGTGGCTGATCGCTTGGCTCTTCATCAGCTTTCAGTCAGTGGAACCTGTAGGATGCATTAGTTAACTTTTATCTCTCTCTCTTTCCCTGGGTTGTTCCTTTTTTCCCCCTTGTAAATAAGCCCATTATTGACCTTTTTGTGTGTCTGCAGTGCAGATGAATCTTAAATGCACGGGTAAGTACCCATAGAAAAGCAACCCAATTCACATCGGGTTGCCCTGTAACAGTTACATTACTTCAATGTTGTTGTTGTTGTTGTTGTTTTTAAAGATTTATTTACCTATGCATATGGTGTAGGCAGAGAGGTGGAGAGTGGGGTAGTGGTGAGAGGATTCACTAGAGATAGTGGGTAGCAGAAAAGGCAGACTGAAACACATGGCTGAGGGAGGCAGTGGGCAGGACAGGAGAGGTTTGCTGTACCATGTGGGTAACCTCCCTGGCTGGGGGTCAAACTCATGTTGCAGTAGCTGATGATAGTTTCATAGTGCTGACTTATTCCCTTGAGCCATGAGGGCGGCCCCATTGCTTTAGTTTTGATTGGAATGTCACAGTTGAGACCTTCTGGAAGCTGAAACTGAGCAAAGAAAAGACCTGTCATGTTGCCTGAAGGGTTCTAGAAGAGTAAGGAAACTTACCTCTCAACACACCTGGAGACCCAGAGAAAAGCCTTGGGAATGTGGAGAAAAGGAAATTACCCAAAGATACAAATGTTGCAGATAAAGCCTCATGAGATCATTCCATGGCATAGCTCTTAAGGTCTAAAAAGTTCAAATGTTGAGGACTCAATCTAAAATCCCTTATAGAAAGTTCTGACAAGGCCAACCAAAATTCTCGTTGGTTATTTCTATGAGCTTATGCAAAATTACATAAAATAGATTGGAATTAGATTTAGCTTACACATGCATCTTGCTGACTACTTGACAGAATTAGAATGAAGGCTGAAGAAAAATATTTTAGTAGCTTTTTGACCATTTTTGAGATTTTTCTTTTGGGCTTGGATTGTTATTGGGCATACTATGATGGGCTGAGGTGGCTCCACAGCCCACTTCCTCTCTCCATTCTCTGTTATCCTGCTGCCCTACTCTCAAACAGTCCACCTCTCTTCTTTTATCCTCAAAGCCTTTTTTTTTTTTTTTTT